AGTGTGTGGGAGGAGGGTTCACTCTACGAAAAAACGCGTGTGAAATAGATCACGATTTTCGAACATTTCCCCAGCCATTTCCCCAGATTTCAACGGGTACGCCTCCAAGGTAAACAAAGAAACTAACATATGAACAAAAAGAGATCTCCCTGCAACCTTATGTTGGGCACATCTACAATCGAAACTATTTGGGCATACCTACAAGAAGAAAGAGCTCAAATCAAAGCTGGAAGAGAAGAGTAACTGGTTAAGGATCCAGGAGAAGTGAACAGAAATACCAGTTATTATGTACTGCAGTTGTTGGGAGTTCAACTGACGCTCGATAGAGCGACCAGCTGTTACATGAAAACGCCAAAGCGTTTTGTAGTCCGACGAAGTTTCGTAATCTCCCATTCTCCGGCTGTTCTTGTCAAACCCTCCGATGAGTCAGTCGCCGTTGTAATTGATGATCATCATTATTGATATTTGTCAATATATTGCAGATTCAATAATTAAATTGACTAATTTACGAAGAAAAACTCAATATTCAGTCGATGATAAGAAAAGTAACCAGGATCGCGTAAGGACACACAATACCGATTGCGTAATTGAACTACGGTCATTATCAGCGGTCTCACCTTTCCTAATTAATTCGGCTCGTAACTGACAAGCTAATTAAATGTTTCTTGCTTAGCTCATTTATTTACTTATTTATTTGTCTACATAGAGGTGCGTAATACTTCGGCGACAGTATTATCCATATGAAAGAAACTGTCAAAATGGCTGGAGAAAACATAAAAAGCTCCGCTTAGAAGGATTCACAGAGGAGAAAACGGTACATAGGACCGAAAGGACCGAAGTAAACTGCCGTATTTACCCAAAGGCCAAGCATGAAAGCCCATTACTCATGCCGAAAGTCAGACTGATTCCTTGACGATAATTTGCAGTTTCCTACGTAGACGTGGTGACTCCGGCAGTACTAGGAGAAATCCAAAAGAAAAGCTGGACTAACTCTAACCCACCCGTAACCTGGGTAATTTAAGGATGCTTTGTGTGGGCAGCAATTTAACTACGTCCAGTCCGTCGAGATCTCAGTTGGAGACTCAGTCAGCTAAAAAGCATTCCAAGACGTTCCATTCATTTTCTGCTGAAAAAGTCAGTTAAGTAAGGACCCTACTTCGGGACGGGACTCCTGCTGGTTTTCTGTTTTCCGCCTCTACTGCGCTACTCTGCACTGCAGGAACCTATAACTCAGGAATGGTACAATCTTAGTCGCAAACTGTTGCTTCGAAGAATCAATGACATAGCTGCCACTCACTGACACTTATTCATATGTGAATGTAGAGCCAGGTATAGAAGATTTATTGCAAGCGCCAGAGTCAGACAATCAGCTGACTGATCACTGTGACTGCACTTTTTACTCAACTTTAAACGGGACAAGGACTAAAAACTGGCCAGATCGACGCATATGCCTGCGTCGCCCACTTATTGCTTCACGCTGCTCACTTTATTGTCAAATTAAACGGCGAGTTATGTAAATAGCACACCAACGACAAGTTTAATCGGACTGGTGTTATTGCACTTTT